CCCCTTGAGGGGGCTGGTTGGGGTGACCTGCCTCCTCAGCAACCTTTTCCTGCAAGTTTGGGGTTGAATGCCACACCTGAGATTTCAAGGCTTCCAGTCCTTTTCCACAGTCATCATCAGGCCCAAATGTTGAAAGTGAGGTCCCACCACCAGCCTCCGGACCCCAGGCTTCCTGCACAGGAGCTGGGGAGCGTAGTCCCACTTCCCATTCCAACTACACCATGGGCAAGCAGGACCTGCTCTGATTTACTAGCCCAGAAGCCCTAATACCAGCCCCAGCCACCCACACTGACCCCAAGGAGATGTGGCTCCATGGCCAGAGGCCACTGGATCCCCAAGGGGCCTCTCATGGCCATGTTGGACCGAGTGTGGCCAACTGGCTCTGGGTCTGCTGTGGCTGCTCCTCCTGTAAATGTTCTCCTATGAGTCCTGTGGGATGATAAGAGGTTCAGAGGGGTCTGATCCTCCTAGTACCAGCCACGCTCTGTACTCAGTTACACTAGGGTGTAAACAGTGATGCAAGATCCTCGGTGTGGGCTGGGCTTTGTAGAGAAGTAGGGTTACATACAAAGACAAGTCTGATGCTCAGAAGTTATCAATGTGCCCTCTGCTCCAGAGGGAAAGTGCTGACTCTGAAATCCTGCTTACGGGCACTGACATGGGGTTTTCTAAACCAGGATGCTGCTTCCTCTCCGTGTGGGGCCTCAGCGGGGCACCCACTTCCTCAAGAGACAGAGGATCCCCATCACATCCTGTCCCCTGAGCATGGGTTGATACCAGTCCCCAGGCAGCTACGGGTTTCATGACACAGCAGTGCCGGCTGCTGACCCGTGTGCCTGGCTTTATCCACATCCCAAGCATGAGCTTAAACCCAGGCTGAACCCCTGGAGCAGCCTCATTGCCTCACTGTGCTGGTGCAGGGCATTTATGCTGGTTTCCAGAGGCTTGCTGGGGGCACCGGCTTGCTGGCCGGTGTGATGGATCACCCATTCTCCTCACTTCTTCAGCTGATCTTCCCTCCCTCTTCCTCCCCATCACCTCATCCTTCTGGCTCCATCCCCAGCCAAACACAAGCCTGGCAGTGCTGACTCGGCAGCACCAGGGCTGCCTTCCCGATGAGACATGAGGAGTTGCCCCACACCTGGTTCACAGGCTCTATGTGTGGGTGTGAGGAGAGCATGGTGGCCACGGTGGCCAGCCCGCAGTACACTGCATAGTCGCTTGGCTCAGCAGGCAGCCCTTTGCTGCCAGGGGACAGGCAGAGCCAGAGGCAAACGTGCTGCAGGGTTTCTTCTCAAGAAAACTGCCCATAGTTTCTAACCAGCCCCCCTTTTTCTGCAGCTTGCTCAGGATGGGGTCATGCCGTGGGTCTCCTTTCACAGTGGTGCAAGGGGAAGCACGGTGTGTGTCGGGCTATGCTGGATTACTGACCTACAGTGCTGCGTGAAGGGGCAGGACCCGTCCCTCTGCCCACTTGCTGCCAGGAGCAAAGCCCCTCTACGCTCTGGGGTCTGCGGTGTGAGCCAGCTCACGTAGTCTGGTCCTGCCACCATCCAGGCCCAGCTTACAGCCCTACAACGGGAGGTAAATCCAAGCTTGAGACACAGACAGCACCGTGGGCCATGGCACAGCAAGAAGCCGCATGGGGCACCAACCAGAGAGGAGCTGGGGAGCCTGGGATCGCCTCCTTAACAAAGCTCCCTGGGCCCGCAGCGGAAGGGGAAGAGGGTCCCCTCCCTCCTCTTCCTCCACCCCGTGTGGGGATTTTGCAGCCAGGTAAACACAGGATGTTGATGAAACGAACTCGGTAGATTGGGCAACCCAGGAGGCAGTAGGAGCTCCGGGCAGCTCCTAGCACCTGACACTCACCTCAGGGGTGGCCAGGCGGAGGGGAAGGGTGATGCCAAGAGCTGGTTGCATCCTCCTCTGCAGTCCCCAGGGTCACAAAACTCCTCTGTGTAGAGGGAGAGGCAGTGTGGGCTGGTGGTCAGACCCAGGGCAGGGTGGGGTGCTGTGCACCCTCAGATGAGCCACAGCACCTCCATGGCCCTTGGCATCTCCTCGCAAGCTCAGCTGATGCTCACAAAGTGCAGTACCAAGCACCCTGCTCCAGGCTGCAGGCTTTGGCTCCCAACCAGCAGCAACCATGTGGCACCTCCTGGGTCCCTCTGAACACCAGGGACACACAGGGTGCAGGCATGGGGGTACAGACCCCCCAGGATCCCACCCTGCCAGGCATCAGCTCAGGACCCACCTCTCATGGCTAGTACTGCAGGGACAGGCTCTTCCCTGCTTCCATACAGCGTGTGCTGAACAAAATATGACTACTTGACAAGGCACAAGAGGGAAGATGAGGGAAAACAACTTGTTTTGATGTTTCTTGGACGTCTGAGGCCTGCGGTTAGTCAGCCTTTGGCTCCCATACTGAGCCTTGCAGGACTCTGTAGCGCAGCCTCATGCCTGGCAACTGGGCACTACAGGGGTCCTTGGCTCCTTCTGGGGGCTCTGGCGAGCGTGGGATGGGGCAGATTTGGGGCTGCTCATGAGCAGGCAGGAGGGTTTTCCTGGGGAGTGAAGCAGCTGAAGGCCAAGAGGTAACAGGCATCTCCAGTTTTGTGGTACTGGGATGCTTGTGGCCCCTTTGAGGGGTTCCTTGGAGTCAGCACGATGCTGCTTGGGCACCAACCACTGCACTGGGCTCTGCTTCCTTCCTGGGGTGGGGGCACCCCATCCTGCTCCATGGCAGTGAGTCAGGATGAGGCTCCCAGAAAACAGCTGGACACAGGAGTGTTTGGCTCCCAACCCAAAAAAATGGGGCTATAAACTCCGGCATCCAGCCTAGCTCACTCCTCAGGTGTGGGTGCTGCTGTCACTCCCACGGTTGACCACGTGTGCTCAGCCAGGGACAGCAAACCAGGAGTGGGACACAAGTGGGCCACAAGAGAGCAGAAGGGACCTGGCCCCTGGGCAGGGACCACGGCTGGGCCAGCAGGAAGGGTCAGGGCAAGGGAAGGGGATTTGGGAAGGGGGATGTGATGGAGGTATTGGGACAGAGATGCCAAAGGGGCTGCTGGCTTAGTTAGAGTGTGAGTGGAGGGGCATGTGGCAGTGTCCCCAGTGTCCCCCTGGATACTGCTGCCATCTGCTGGCAGGACCCAATCCTGCTCTGGTCCTGAGTCTGGCCACTGCACCAAGTTCTGGGGATCCCTCTGTGATCCCACTGTCCTGTGCCCCACTCCTGGGCACACAGGGCAGCGTGACACCATGCATAGCTCCAGGCTGGACACCCCGAGGTGCCTCCCAAGCCTCTTCGCTGTGAGCCCAAGGAAGCCGGGCCCCAAAATTGCTCATGGTATCCACCCGAGGCACGGCAGGTCGTCACCCCACACTAACTTATTCCCTGGGCTGCAGATTTCTCCCCCTCCACGCCCAGGTCACCCCCCACACCAGTGCCTTATTTTATGCCCTTTGTGAGCAGACCCCCTGCTTAGTGTCATCTGATTTGTGCTGGTGGGTGCAGGGACAGGATCAGGCCCTCAGCTGGCAGCAGGATTAGAGCAGTGGCTCTGCCGGGGCTAGTTTCTCCAGGGAGCATCCAGCTCCACTTCTCTCCAGGGCTGATGAGCGGCAGAGGAAGCTCACCCCGAGATAGCTGTTGTCCTGCTGCAGTCCCGTCCCCTGGGTCCCCCCTGGGCCGCGGATATTCACTGAGTCCTGTCCTCCTCGTGACAGGCGTGCACATGCAGAGCCCCTTCCCACGGCCTCCCCCTTGCCCTCCCCAGCATTCCCAGCGTTTCCACTTCCCCTGGGACCAGCAGGTCCTGGGGCTGTGCTGGGAACAGCCATTGGGGACTGGGGCTTCACCAGGCACAGGGACACCCAGGGCCACCCTGCACATGGCTTCCCGTGGGCACCAAGACCCTGAAAATAGCCTCGGTGTGGTGTTACATGGCATTTGCTTTTCAGATGCACTTGGGAAGTGGAATTAAGATTTGGAGGAGGCGCATGACTGAGCTGGTGTCCCCGCAGAGGCCCTGCAAGCACCGCGGCTCATCCATCCCCGGGCAGATGGCAGCGGCATCCTTCTCCTCACTGGAAAATGCCCAAGTTCATGGGCAGGGATGGAGCCGCAGCTGTCCCTGGTTTAATTCCTCACAGCAAAGCAAAACCAGCATCCGGCAGAATTTCTGTGAGCTTCATGCCCTGGCCCACGCACACAATGGGAAGGCTGCACGGCACTGGGGACCTTCCCATTGGGAACAATGCCCTGTGGACTCAGTGCTTGACACCCACAAGAGTCACAGGAAGTTGTTTTAGTCTAGAAGGGATTTTTTTTTTCCCTAGCCCTGCAAAAGCAAGCTGGAAAAAAAAAATCAGCCCCCAAAAGACCACAACTCAGAAAGCCAATAATAACTATGCTGAAACCTTGCTGGTCAGAGCTGGGACCTGGCACATGGTTTTCAGTCTGATTTCCAAAGAAACCAGGTGTGTGCCTCCACCCTGCCACCCTGTGCCTCCGCCCATCCTACTCTTAGTGATTTTTTTTTTCTGCCAAAACAACTTTTCCCACCAAGCCACCTTTCGAAGGCCATGCTGGTAGCTCAGCCCTTAAAAGACATCAGAGACTCCCCCATCATCACTACTAGCCTGCTCGCTGTGCTCTCCAGACATGCTTCACCCACATCCTCAACCTGTGTGTCCAGCCATTTCCTTCAAGCCCCGTGACCACCCGAAACCACTGCCCTTGGCCACCACAGAGGTGATGCCAAATTGTGTGACCAGCTGATGTTCCCAGGTCCATTTGCAGGTGGAGGCCCCCCTGGCACCCGGGTGGGCTTGCACAGCTCCCCCCACTCCCTCCCCGCACATCTGGGCAGCTGTGCCCGCCAGCAGCGTCTTGCGTGGTGCACCCCGTTTCGCCCTGGCAGCGCGCTGACATCAGCGCAGCTTCCTGCCCGCCGGCACTGCCGCGCCGTGTGCTCGCCCCGTACCCCCACAGCCCCACACCGCGGGGCAACGAGCCCCCGGGACCCCTTGAAACCACCCCCCTGACAGCCAGCACCATGGAGTCGGTGGCTCTCTACAGCTTCCAGGCGACAGAAAAGGATGAGCTGCCCTTTCACAAAGGGGACACCCTGAAGGTACAAGGGCGGCAGAGTCATCAGCCATGGGGGGAGGATCACTAGCCATGGAGGGGGTCACTAGCCATGGAGGGGGTCACTAGCCATGGAGGGGGTCACTAGCCATGGAGGGGGTGGCATGCTGCTGCTTTGGGGACAGGGTGGGCACATGGCATGGGATGACACCCACTTGCTTTCACTGCAAGAGATTTTGTTGCCTCTTTGGGGATTTCTGTGGAGTATAATGAGCCATCTCTGAGGGTTTTGGGGTGCGGAGCATCATCCCCAGCAGCAGTGGGCACCCCTTGTCTGTGCCACCCGCCACACCTCCAGAGAGGTCCCAACTGGGATGAGGCATGTGGCTTCCCTGGCCACAGGTGCCACAAGCTGTGCTCTGTGGCAGTCCCCCAGGGCTGGAACACACTTTCCCTTCCCCACGGAGGCATTGGG